AACTTCATAGATTCAGAGAACATTTGGATGGTTGCCATATTAGAGGGGGTTGGGAGGGTGGGTGAAAAAGGGGAAAGGATGAAGAAGTACAAAATGGTTGTTACAAAGCAGTCATGGGGATGTAGGGTATAGCGTAAGGAATATAAGTCAATAATATTGTAATAACTACGTATGATATCAGATGGGTACTAGATTTATCAGGGTGATAGATGGGAGGGGATTGGAGGACAGGGCGAAAAAAGGTGAAGGAATTAAGAAATACAAATGGGTAGTCACAAAATAGTCCAGGGGATGTAAAGTAAAGCATAGGGAATATAGTCAATAATATGGTAATAACTATGTATAGTGCCAGGTGGGTACTAGATTAGTCAAGGGGATCACTTCTTAAATTATATAAATGTCTAACCACTATTCTGTACACCTGAAATGAATATAAAATATTCAACAGCAATTGAAAAAATTTTAAAGCGGAGAAAAGTAGGTGAAAGGGTACAAGGGGTACAAATTTCCAGGCAGGAAACAAATTAAGTCATGAGGATGTAATATACGGCATAAGGAATATAGTCAGTAATATTGTGATGTGTGATACAATGTCAGATGGTTGCTGGATTTATCATGGTGATCGCTTCTTTCGGTATATAAATGTTGAATAACTATGGTGTACACCTGAAATTAATATATGTTAGCTATATTTTTAATTAAAATCTTTTAAAAAAATTAACAGGCAGAAATGAAGCATAAAAAGATGATCCATAACCAAAGCAAAAAGTAGCCAAAAGAAACAGACCCAGAGATAAACCATGTGTTAGAATAAGCAGACAACGACTTTGCAATAACTGTTATAATTTTTAAATAGAGAAAAAGATTAACTGAACAGATGAAAATATGGAGAACTTTAATAGAAAAATGAAATTTCTAAAAAGCAAAGTAATTATTATAGAAAAATTGGGAAAAATGTTATCTTGAAAACCTCTCTCAGTAACTGACAGAACGAATAGCCAAAAAGAACAATTAGTGTGGATATACAGAATATTTTAACAATGTTATTAAACACCTTGAATCAAAAATCAGAAAATATAGAATGTGGGCTATTTTCCAAATCAACTGACATTACTCTAAAAAGTCAATGTTAATGGAGAACAAAAACACAAACCTGAGGAAATGTAATTACCAAATGCAATGCATGAACCCTGACTGGATTTAGAAAAACAAATTATGAAGTACATTTTGGGGATAATAATAAAAATCTGAATTTATGAACTAGGTATTTTAGGAAATTATTACTGTCTTAATGTGATAATGGTATTGT